TTATGTATACAATTAATGCATATTTGGTATTAGGTCAATGGCAACTTCACATGAACGAAATCATACATGAACGTTTGCATTGCTTACATTGCTGTAGCGATTTTTGTCGGTATCTCGACATCCTGCAAGATTCGTCTCATCACTTTGTGCTAGGGCTGGAGCACTGGTATACTGAGCATCTATACGTGATATATTTCTTTGTTTGTAGACATCCCGCTTGGCCCCGGAGGATGTGTGTATAGTCTTTGTAGACGATTGTGTGTTTTTCGCGTTAGCGCTGTATCCTCCATTAAAGGCGGACAATAGGGAATCGATCCTCAAAGAAACCATTTTAATTTAGGTTGAGTTGAGTGACTGTATTCTGATAAGGGGAGCACTGCCAAAGGTCAATAAATTACACTTGAAGCATAGATCAGCCGTGTCTAGACCTTTCTCAACTACAATTTCCTAATATATTCCCAGCAACACCTGATACTGCTCACCCCATGCAGATAGTACCACTAGATGCTTCACCCTGGAGACATATCCATCTGCCAATTCATCACCTGCGTGAGGCAGAGGCGTGGATGTGCAGTCGTGCGACACGTGGATAATTTTGTATTGATGTAAGTATAAAGTTAGTAGAGTATATGAAAGAATCTTACAATATTTACATACCCACATTGACACATACTCAGAGGCAAACTGATTGTATGTAGAATACGTCATAGTATGAATGTTATGGCCTTCGTTCTGATTCGTCGATAAGATGTATCGTCTACTGTGACTAGAATCTAGATTGGCCTTTCATTTTTGGCATGGCAACGCCGGCTTTTGTTAAAACATGATATACTGGGCCAATCAAAAGGCTTTCTTAGAGGAATCAGGTAGTTTCGAACACTGCTGTTCTGCTCTGTCGACTTTTTTTAAAACTTGGAATATTAATAATGATATTATTATTTTGTTACATAGTACTCTATGCGCTCACCATCACCCGTCAGTTGTCAGTCGCCACTCTGTGCCCTGTGTTATCATCACTGTGTTCAGGGCTGCATATTTGTCCTAAAATTAAAATGCGAACGGACTTTCGATGATGGTATTTGTCTCTGGGGAGTGGGGGTTATGTATGTAGTTGATATATAGCCGGGGTGTAGCACTTCCGACATCTACATACTACACGGTCTAATGAGCATCAGTTTATAGTCATATACTTGCACTCAAGCTTCAAACCGACAGAACAGTCACAAATTTGAACATCACGCCACGTTTTACACCTCGTCCCAGTTTACGATCTACAGACGTGCTATAGCGGCCTGTTCCCCACTCTCCAAGTTAATCTCATAGATGTCGCACTGTGGTAGACTACTACAGTCTATTTTTTTCTCTCTCTAGTAGTTTTGTCTCTCTCTAGTTGGCAATTACTTTCTTAATACTGCATCTCGCACTTGAAGCCCTACTTAGTTTACAGTGACAACGTCCGATACGAAGCCGTACTGAATTATGATCGCAACGGCTGCCTCTACTCCTAAGGTTCTCAAAATCGTTGTAAAAAAAACCGCACATTGCAAGCTCGACCAGTCCGGGCCCAAGAGGTCGCAACCAACCTGCACGCCAGGCGAAGCTCCGTCAAATACTTCAGGGACTGATGTGAGACCCGTTAATAATGAGGACAGCGCAGATGTTCGTAAAGCGGGTATGATTAAAACTCGAAGTTCGTTTCACACCATAGCTTCGGGTAGTAGAAGTCTGAGAGTTACCAAGAAACTGCAGTCAGATGTCAATCGCACCGTATCGCTTGTATCGCTGGTCAATCCTAACCGTATCGGCGACAGTCACAAAGATAGAATTAAGGGAGTTGACACAGATGCAGAGAACCAGATTATGAGTTCAGGTGCGGCGTGTACAGAGCCCATCCCAGAAACAAACAGGGCCGAGCATCCTAATACGGGACCGGAAAAGGTCAAGTCCGAAAATAAAAGGTCGTGGGGGTCGAAGATAAGAGCGAGTGCTTCTTTTTTCCACCACGATCGGTCACACCACGGCCGTACAGAGCTACCTACACCAGAGGACTCTCTATGGGTTGAGGATGGGTATGTATGGTTTAGGCGAAAATATAAGCATATTGAAACAGTAGTCATGCGTATCGTGTTTATGTTTGTATCTACATTCATGAACACGTGCTTGTTTAACTCCCAGTATTTTTAATGTCGCATGCCTAGCAATGTATCGAATCAAATGAAAGACATCAAATATGTATATATTTCTTTATGTACAATGTGCGCGTGTGTAAAGCATATGAGAAATAATTTTGGATGTAGTGCAGTTATGCGTACAAAACCAACACTACCACGATCATCCTTCTGTAGTGGCTCTATTTGTGTATTTGAATGAAACTTTCTTATCACACATTAGAGTATCACTGTTTAACTGTACATACCTATCGCACTGTGCAGTCATATTTCATTGACATGTACAACATCTCAAAGTACGGAAGATAGATAAATCTTATACATATAGCCAAGCGATTTGAGTCACATATGAAATACATTTGTGTTTGTTGGGTATATGCTTGAATCGATATCGCTCCGGTTTTAGAGTTATATATATATATATCATATTTTCTAGTTAAACTGCTATAACTTACCTTACCCTGTGTACGACCGCGTACGAATATTCATTCGACGGACGACTATGGCATTTGTGTTGAGCAGAAAACAAAACAGTGTTCGAATAGATAAGAAGCATTAATCACCCCTAACAAAACTATATATATATATATATATGTATACATCTACATCCACATCTAATGTATATATATATATATATGTGTGTGTGTGTGTATGTGTGTATGTATGTATGTATGTAAGTATATATTTATATATATATATATATATATGTAAGTATATATGTATGTATGTATATGTATGTAAATATATATGTGAGAGAGAGAGAGAGCATACATGATGTCTCATCGAATGCTTTAAATTCCGTGTATATATACCAATGTTGATACTGATATATTTGAGCGGTATTCGAACTATCAGCTGTGGTCATGGACCATATACCCTTCCAAACATACACAGCCTTCATCATACTGACCTACTCATAACCCCACTATTCTAACCATAACAATAAACACAGCCAAGTTGAAGACGATCCAATTGAGCACAAGAAAGACAACCGAGCCCTCAGGAGGTGGTGGCGATCGTGCAGAACACGGGGAATCAATACACTCGCACACAGTAGTCCTAGCGACAAGCCTAAGGCAACTACCGACAGCGTTAAAGTAGACAACTTCAGAAAGACCAATGGCATGTGCAACTCAGCGTACCAGCCACAGGTGGGTCGTTTGCACACGACAAAGAACGGCTCCTCTCCCACGGCGTCACCCGTAGTGTCACCAAGGTGTGTCCTGTCTCTGTGGCTTTGATCCGAGCGTTTCTGATATACGTCTCTGCGCCCGTGTGTGTATTCCCTTGTATCCAGGTCATTGTTGTTCGATGTATTTACCAACTGACACGCGTGAGATCGTCATCTCATGTACATACCTGATACCTGCTCAACCTACGGGGTTGTTCCTTGTAACTGCCATTTGACTCAAAACGTACATTCCTACCCACCGACCAGATTGCATAAGAAAGCGACCGAATGTACGTTTAGTGTAAAAGCAGGCGGACCTTGTAATATAGCAATCCATTCGCATAGTATGAGTGCTTAAATGCTTCCAGCTATATATATGTATATGTATATACATATACATATCCATACATATATATAGATTTAGATTTAGATATATATATATATATATATTATGTGTGTGTGTGTGTGTGTGATTAAATCATTCATACTCCAAATATACATACCTACCCGCCAACAAGCTTTCACCGAGTGTAGTTATAATATGGTAGCAGGGAGGGTATGCGCGGTCTTTGTCGTAGAGTAATGTATTCGTATACCATGAGTACTGATGCACAGACCAGTACGTGAACGCTTCTAACTGTATATATATATATATACGTATGTATATATATATAAATATTTAATGTATATGTATATAATTATATGTATATATGTATATATATATATGTATAATTTATTATGAAATACTAATAATTATACATGCATATATTCATAGGTTGTATTAATGTATATATGTATATATATGTGTGTGTGTATATATGTATATGTGTGTGTATATATGTATAAATATGTATATATATATATATATATATATACGTCCTTACTTATTTAGTTTAAAAGTAAAACGTACTATATATATATATATATATATTAAATAGTATATATATATATGTGTGTGTGTGTATGTATACTATATGTATGTATATATATATATACATATATATACATATATATGGATTAATGTGTGTGTGTGTGTGCGTGCGTGCTTTGACCATGATTGTCACCAAACCTTACTGTAATATTTATACTAAAGAGCACAACTACTGACATCTCTATAGAGTGCAAATATCTACTTTGTCATTTGGTCCACAATTTGCTCAAGATGATTGTGTGTTCAATTCTCTGATGCAGGTAATTTAACCCAAGTTTGTATTTCTCATCATGGTTCACGCATAATATAATGCAAAACTAGACGAAGAGACCTCCCTTCGCAGCAATAAGCACCTCTTTAGCCAGTGGTAGAAACAAATATAAATGGAAGTACACTAACTCTCATCATGGATATACTCATTGCATTCCATCTCTACTCCCAATGTTCTATTTATAGAACCAAACTTGCCATGGCCGATCTCCGGTCCGCGCGCACGGAACATCGACATTCTCTACAGTCGAAACAACAGCAATACCTGGCACTGATAAACATGTACGATTCTGGCGAATTCAGGAACCTTCTCAGCCTATCTCCGGTGGCCGAGAAGAAACCCGACTGTGCCCGGAGGCGAAAACTGCAGCAACTGGCCGAACAACAACTCATCAAACAATGCGCTGCACAGCAACGGTTGATAGACAGTAGGCCTGTGAGTAAGGTATCCGCAACAACAACCAGGGACACTGCAGACGATGAAAAGAAACCGTCGCTGCTCACATCCGTGCTGGACGCGCTTTCCAACGAGGATATGGCCGGGTTACTGGGCCTGAACTTGAGCGATCTGTCTACACTGAATCTGTCGGTGGACAACAGTGTGCGACGCGGGAGTGCGTGTAGTGCAGCCGCCGATGCGAACGGTGAGAGCTCGATATCTACCTACCCCAAGAGTGCACCGAACAACGCGAGTAAGGCCCACAGCAGCACCAGCGCTACACTGCTGAGTGATGAACCAACCGCCTGGCAATGGCAGGGGGGTCCGTTTGTTCAGACTGTGGGTAGGAGGAGGAGTGAAATGGGTTCGTTTAGTATGGCGAACATCCAGAACGGAGTTGTACCCAGGAAGAGACGGGGTGGGCAACGCCGCTCAATGCTGGAGAATGTCAGGGTTGATCTGGGCGATAATTTTGTACCGTGCGACGGCCTTGAACAATTTTTGTAAGTAGCTTTGAACAGTCCTTGCACATATGTTTGTCCCCTTTCGGTGGTATATGTATAGCCCAGGATTTTTGAATCAGTGTGAGAGAGTAGGGAACTGTACCGACGAATGGTATTTGACACGACTTTGGTTAGTGTAATATTTACATGAACAGCTAACCAAATAAGTCCATTGACTTAACAATTATATATATATATGTGTGTGTGTGTGTGTGTGTGTGTGTGTATTTATGTATTTATGTATTTATGTATATAAATATATATGTATATATATTGCACTCGTCCACTTCAATAATAGATAGCCAATTACTGGTAAAATCGTCTGATACACTTAGATATGCAATTTGATACGCCGCTGTCTTGGTTTCTACTGTGGCCCCAAAGGACACAAGCTCGGAACACGTGGAATATTATCCGCGCCTGACTTAGCGTGTATAGAGTTCAGTCATGCATAGTTTACTAGTCACACGCATTAAAGGAGGTCTCACTACTTCATACTATCCCTATGGCACAACAGGATGGACACAGATCCGGATAAGACACTCGACGACGAGAAAGCGCAACGCCGTATCCGTATGCCCAGTATCTACGGCAACAACCGATCCACAGCAAGTATCGGTAGTGTTATAGACCGGTACAGTCTATCTACACTGTCTCTGGTAAGCAATGAATATTCCTTGCCGCCCGCGCCCAGGCCTACCTACGTACAGGACTTGTGTGTGGCGATGGATCAGTTACAGGCGCTCATGAGGTGTGTCGAATAGATGACCAAATAATAACGTGATGAATTTGAACGGTCTTTCAGAATTGTAAAGGCCGAGTCCGTTGGGAGTGTGTCTGTGACCCAGATTCAGACACTCGGGCGGAGGGTCGAGTAGATGACCAAATAATAGCTTTTCGCTATATTTAAGATCTTTTCTCTCAGAATAAAGAAAGATAACCTAATTTGGTCAGATTGAAAGTACAGACATATTGCCCTCTGTCGAGAATCGGTAGTTTGTTTTCGAAAGCCACCGCTTCTCCACACTCTCATGAGCATTCATTACACTCTGCTGGTCACCCCTAGGTCCACATATGTGCAAGCCTTGAGTGATGGATGATCCACATGAAGAGTGGCGAATGATTGGCTCTGTATGTAAAGCAGTGTGTTCTTCGCTGTGCGTTAGAATGGAGGAAGACTGCATATCTGACATTTAGAGTGGAAAGTACAAGAAACCGCTTTTTAGTTACTATCCGGGTGTCGGCCGTTTGCCGGTAATAATCAGTACAGTTGATCAACACTGTCACTTGCGAGCGATAGCTTTACCTTACCGGCCATACCAAGCTCACGTACATACATATAGGACCTTTTCTGAGCAGTATATACTCATGAGGGGTATTTACTGCTAGGTGTCAGGACATTTTATCTTGATTTTATAGACTCACTCATTGAATGAAGACTACAAAACTTGGTAGACAACCTACTGTGAGTTATAGCCAACATAAACCCTCACAGCGTTCCCACACAAGTTTTATTAAGTGACCTTCTGAGTGGAAGACTGGTGTATGTCGGTAGGAGACTCGTCAGTGGTATCGTCAGTATCGAATATGGCATCTAGGGACCGATTCGGTTCGGTTCGGTACACACTGTCTGTTGTCACAGCCCTCTGGATTTGGGTCGCGAGCGGAAATCTAGTGTCTGTCGTAGTGGAAATCATAAGTTTAACGTAACCTTCGAGAGGGTCATGCTGTCATGAGCGCTACTTGGACTCACAGGCGCGTAGGCGTGCAAAACTCGAGTGCTGTTACTGGGTCAGTCACAATGGCGTACGGGGTGTGTGGAAAACATGTGGGAATCTGTGGTTCGTCTAAAAATAAGAACTTTCTGACGAATGGGAAGACTGTTTCCATAGCGAGTATCGAAGTTTGTTACTAGGGAACGAGTCTGTGAAAGCGATGATTGGGCACTGCCGACCCACCCTAGGCCTACCTACGTACAGAAGCGGTGAGTAGTGATAGGTCTAATACGAGCGCTCAGGAGGAGTGTTGAATGGATGGCTAGACAGCAGATTCAATCCATAGCCCTTCAGACTATTGTCAAGGTAGACCACAGATTCAATCCACAGCTCTTCAGACCATTAACAGGGCAGACAACAGATTCAATCCACAGCTCTTCAGACTATCAACAGGGCAGACAACAGATACACTCCGTAGCCCTTTAGACTAAAGGGGGACTTGTACCGTCTGTTCTGTTGCAATGGGAAGTAGGTATGAAAAGTTGCTCCCCATCGCGTATTGGTGTGTAGTGCTGTAATAGACCGGTATTCGCGGCCAATCCACACCGCCGTCTTATACCAGCGCTTATGTGACTGCATGACTACTAGCCAAACTACCACCCAAACTACCACCCAAACTACCATCCAAACTACCACCCCAACTACCACCCAAACTACCACCCAAACTACCACCCATACTACCACTCAAACTACCACTCAAACTACCACCCAAACTACCACTCAAACTACCACCCAAACTACCACCCAAAAACCACCCAAAATACCCCCAAAACAGGTGATTTTTCGGTTCGTAATGTATTCGAATGATGAAGACTTTTCTCACCTTATTGTAAAAGTGCGAGAGATTACTGAAAACGAGTTTTGTGAGCTTTATGAATTGAAAATAGTCAGTCGAGTCTGTGTCGTGAGTGGTCAGTCGAGACTGTGTAATCACATGCACAATAACTGCCCTATGTGTGCCATAGCCGGCTCACAAATGAGCGTACAACTATAAACCAATTTTAAATAGCAAATAGTATTAATATATTAAATATGAATTCGGGGTCTACAGTGTGTCAGTTTACAATATTTATATATATATTCATATTTAGTATACGTTAAAATACCAGTTATCCGCACGCATGTGAAAGCACATGTTCTCAAATACGGGACGTGTGCTATATATTCTAGAGAGATTGGTTGATCATAATAACAAGCAATTACACATTAAATAAAGCGAAATATATGTACAGGCTTTTTTTTATTCGTCTATCGAACACCTCATCACTCGCTTAGAGAGGCATGCGAGTATACTAACTTTTCTATCTCACTCTTTTAAAAAGAGGAATAATCTATTTTCATGCACTTGCCTTCTAGGCCCGCTACAAGGCCCCAGCCACGTGCTTATATACTTTTAAGAGGAATCGTATGCATGTCGTCTTGTGTCCCTCGCGCACATCGTGTGCCAAAAATACATACATGCGTCAGTGGGTCATACACAGCAAGACGTTTCAGTTGTCAGATGCTGCTACTGCGGACACGCCAACCGCAGCTATATATATATATATATATATATATATACATATATAATATACATATATATATATATGATGACGACGTCTCTCGAGGCATTGCATTGTTTCGAGACCCGATTGGGCTGTGCTTATGCGCTTGTAGTGCATATGCGCTTGAAGTGCATATCCGCTTGTAGTGCATATCCGCTTGTAGGGCACATGCCCCGATATTCCTCTGTCTTTGACCTCCTGCCGCATCGCCTCACCTAAGTGCATGGCATGGACTAACCCCGCCAGGCTTTTTACACCGCGTCCTAATTTTCGGTCCACATTCCCGATTATAACCTAATTTGTAAATATGTAGCCTAATTATACTTGCAATTTACCATCTGCCGCGACCACCGCCACCACGACCACCTCCGCCGCGACCTCCACCGCGACCGCCAAAGCGACCACCGCCACCCCGGCCGCCGCCCCATCTGGGCTTACTACTACCCCCACGTCCTTTACCCCTGTCCATTCGCTGTAATTCGGGTGAGATGTCCTTGCCAGCATCCACCATAACCTGGATGAGCTCGTTGGCGTGTTTCGCATCGTCGTTGGTGAAGAAAGTGTATGAAGCGCCGGTGTCGTTTCCACGGCCGGTACGCCCGATGCGGTGTACGTAGTCTTCCACACCGTTTGAGGGGAAATCGTAGTTGATCACAACCTATACAGAAGTAAACGAGTACAGGCGATGAGAATGCTTGTAGAATAGGTAGATATACATATAGATATACATATAGATAAAAATATAAATGGTTTTCAAGAGAAACGCGTCTATCTCTTCCACTAATACAAAGCGACAAGGATAACACCTCGAGTAAGTAGACAGTGCGCTATGCCTGCAATATACTTGGTTGATTACAGGGTATATTGTAACAAACAAGAGTGTAGCTGTGAATAGTCTGTACGACTTCTTGTACCGCAGCCCCTGTGCGTATTCTCTCACTCCTGACAGATAGTAGGTAACGTCCAAGAGCATATAAAGTGGTGATGTGGCGTCGATGTTTTGCCCCGTGTCTTTGACTGCAATTTTTTAACACATAAACAATTGCTACAGAGTATGATATCTACGAATCATGTCCATATAAACAAACAACATAAAATAGACTCCCGCAAGAACACAGACAAGTACCGGAGTGTTAACTGATAAGACTTACCTTTATATCCCGGACATCCAATCCACGAGCGGCTACATCGGTGGCCACCAGCATTCGCAACTGTAGATTATAGTGACAAAGTTAGTAAGTTATCAAGGGAGGTATGGGAGGGTGGGAGATATGGCAATGTTTCGATTGCTAGTGTTGAAAAGGAACACGACTATGCAGTACGATACAACAAATCAAAATACGCTACATATTTAATTTTGCATAACGCACACTGTCCGAAAGTTTTATCCGTTGTACCGGCTACGATGATGGATATCATGGTCCGCACAAAATCGATCTACCAAAAACACTTCGTATCACTGGTAGCCAATAAACAATACGACAGTTTGCAACCATAATGGAAATCGGATCCAGATATATGATCTCAATTTTGCTAATGAAACAATGGAAAAAATGCTATACAATGGTACACGCGCATCAAAATTCGATATGAACTAAATGTACCCGCACGCAAATATATATATATATATGCGAACGACAATGACAATCGCGCAGATGCAAGTCTTAACACACCAACGGTACAAAAACTTACGTCGTTGGCAACATATTGCTTCATGATGTTGGTGCGTTCGAACTGTTCGCGGTCACCATGCAAACAGTCGACGGCAAATCCGCTCTCCCATAGCTGGTTGCCAAGATCGTTGCAGGTGTGCTTTCTGGCTGTGAAGATGATCATCTTGGGGTGACTCTTGGCTGCGTCCTCAGTCTCACTCAGCTCCGTGAGCAACTTCTTAAGCTCATCGAACTTGGAGTGGTTGTCCACGATGCGGATGTTCTGCTCGACGTTCTTGTTGGCTTGCAGTTTGTGCACCGCGCCAAAGTTAACCTGTACAGCGTCCTTCAGTAGTGTGTTTGCCAGTTTTTGCACAGCCTTGGGCCAAGTAGCGGTGAAGAACAAGGTCTGCTTCTGCTTGGGCAGCTTCTCCATAATCTCTGTGATCTGAGGTCCGAAACCCATATCCAACATACGATCCGCCTCGTCCAGGATAGCACACTCAATACCCAATACAGATATCTTCTTCATCTCCATGATATCACACAGACGTCCGGGTGTAGCGATAATCACCTGAGCTCCTTGCTCAATAGCGCGGATCTGAGGGTACTTGGGGGCTCCACCATACAGACACACGGAGCGAATGCCAGCTGTCATACCGAACTTCTTAGCTTCGGCCTCGATCTGACAGGCTAACTCTCTAGTGGGTGCTAGTACAAGCACCTTGGGAGGCTCACCACGCCTAGGCTGACCACGGAAGTCTCCACCCTGGTTCCATTTGCTTGTGACGATGTGATGGAAACATGGAACCAAGAAACCAAGCGTCTTACCAGAGCCGGTCTTGGCCACGGCGATGATGTCCTGTCCACCGAGAATAATGGGCCAGGACATGGCCTGTGAGGCTGTGGGTCCGGGGAACCCTGAAGCTACAAGGTTAGCCTTGACCTTTCCAGAGAAAGGTGTACTGTCCCAGGTCAACATGGGGTGGGGGATGTCGTATGTGCTTGTGCCAGGTGTGATCTTGATGTCATGCTCTTTCATGAACGTGGCGACTTCCTCGTCTGTGTGCACTTCCCGTCCATCTACCCTGTATACAACCTCTTTCTTAGCCACAGCCGTCTCTGTAGCAGCAGTCGCGCTCTCGGGTGCTGCATCTATACCATCGGATTCAGACTTCTTCTTCTTCTTGGGTTTCTCGTCGTCATCGTTGCCGCTTGATTTACGCTTAGACGACTTGGCTTTCTTTTGTTCGGCGAGTTGTGCGATAGCATCGGCATCGCCGTTGGCTGCTAGCTCCTTCAACAGCTTTTTCTTGCTGGAAGAAATCTTTTTTACTTTCGCCTCGATCGACATGCTTATGTGCTTGTTGTATGTTAATGACGAGTTCGTGTATGATTATTCAGATAAGATGAACCCCAATGTATTCAAATATTATAGTATTTATTAAACTTTCAACAACCATAAACTGTACACATGTACGGACCGATTCAAAATTTTAAAAGCAAAGAAGAGCACATATTGCACGAGCGGGAAATATTTTTAGGGAGGGCGCCTGTCGACTAGGCGTGTATCGTTTGGCACTGTATTTATTAATCACTGGCTGATCAGCTACTCCCAGGTCAGCGTGTTCGGTGGAGTGGAAGTTTAGACGATTATTGTTTTGAGAGGGAAACCCCATGTGTATAGTTGCCGAAACAATGTGCAATCAGATTTCCCATGACGATAATTTTAACCAACTCATTTACTCTCAAGAGCCAAGTCATCCCCCAAAAGACAATTAAAGAGGAGCTCATCATGGCTTTTCTTTGAAAGAGCTCTCCACACAGGCGGAGTCTCTCACAGTCTCAGAGTCTCAGAGTCTCAGAGTCTCAGAGTCTCAGAGTCTCAGTCTCTCAGTCTCTCAGTCTCTCAGACTCAGAATCTCTGAGAAATTACTTGAAACTTCTTTGTTGTGTTGAGAAACTTTGAAGTGATGAAACAGGCACATGAGACGAGTACAGACTATCTATTTACAGTGACTGTGTACAGTTGTATTTACACGTATATCAAACTTGAAAATATCAAATTGGTTGATATGGACAGTATTTGTTTATTTTAATGTATAATACGATATATAATATATGTAATTATGTATATCGTAGTTGTTTGATTTAGAAAGCTATGTATCATTTGCCTATTACGAGTATCTATTTGACTGCCTCTCTAGAGTGAGCATCACTTACTACCGTCACGAAATCGTTTGTGTCAGGTACTTTATCACTAGTAGTATGTGCCACTTGCTTACATTATACGCTACATCTACATCGTGAGCTCACAATTGGTGCTCTGTTTTTAATTGATGTAGACCGTCGCTTACCGATTGTCCACGATCACGTGTGCAGTCTATGTCATGCACATACTGATATTGGTGTACTAATAAACAATGCGCTCCACTCCCACTACGAAATTGTTTGTTGTAATTTGGTAGTGTTTGCCAAGTTTGTTGTAGTCTCTCATTGAACAGTTTCAGCTGCTGATGTGGGTTAAATATTCCAAATATGATTGGTGAGAAAGTTCCACTTGACTGCGTGCTTTACGCTCTCAGTAACTGGGTATAAGCTGGCATCTCCCACTAGCAGTTCTAGAAACTAGCTTGCACCAGCTTGTCATCGCTTATCGTTTAGATATAATATATACCAAATGTTATGTGTCTATCTCAGGGTTTCAATATGTTGCCATTAATTTTTAATAAAAATACGTAAGTTGCTTGTAAATAAAATCTAGATCGAGAAGATCGCCGGCAAGCATTACACCCGCCAATTCGGAAGTACAGAACTGAAATGTCTACATACAAAAGTACGTGTAAAAAGTACAATGGAAAACTCGCGGAGAAAATAATCTCTGCAACACGAAGCCGCACGGCTTTGCAGCACTGAGTATCTTCTGCCGACTGTTTGGAAATGGGTCCACTACTCTACAGTCTGACCACAGTTGTATACACGTACACGCCGTGCAAGCGTCAAATAGCACAAGTAGCTCCAGCTATAGGTTGGTCGTATGTATGAATCATATCCTTGTATAGATTTAGTATTGTTCACATTCATCGACCCCTGCTACGCGGATGGGTTAAGGCCTGTGTTATCTAGTTTCCATCCCCGTATATCTCGTTACAGAATAAAGTGTAGTATACTTTAATTGCAACCGTGCGTGTGTATTCTATCATACTTACAGCACGCCAGTCAGCCCTAGTACTCAAGTAACGATGTAGACTCGGCAACAGAGTGGTGGTTGGGTGCTACCACTGGACTGGTAGACGACAGCTGACCAACTGAAGCACAGTGCATAAGCTAAACTAATCATGATGTCAAAGGTAGTGTGCATCTATACCAATGCCTGCTTTGCTTGTTGAATGCATTTATTCGATGCAAAAAGTCTTCGATACCAATCGTTATACATCGCGTGTACTGATACGCCTATAGCAATACATTTGAGGTTATAAGTTCTATGCTGTTCCCAGTGTGTGCAGGAGTCAGCGTACAGACCGGTTCAAACTGGCGCATATTCGCGAAAAATTCGGGCCTACATTGGACCAAGTCCAGCCATTGAGACAACTCTTCCGTCACCGGAACCTACCTACTATATATATATATATATATATGTCTTGCTACACTGTTCATGCCTTGTTGAACACCTCACCGATAACCACTATCGCATCCGCACGGTGCTTGCGAGCCTTCTTGGTGGCGGTCTCATCAGTGCACACGAGAGTCACCACTTTCCGCAGCGTGGTCTCTATATCAACCACAGACGCCAGCCACAACATACCCAACCTACCAGTAGGAGAAACAAGCCAAGTGTGTGTGAGGGGTAGGTATGCATGGACACAGTGCTCCTAACACACACGTAAGAAATGTAGGTGGGTGTAGGGGTGGTGGATAGGCCGTTATAACACACATGTATTAATAGGTGGGTGTATGGGTGGTGAATAGGCAGTTATAACACACCCCGTATCATGGTTGGGCGTGGAAGGCAAGTGTTAGGAGACTGTGTGCATCCACCCGGCCCAGCTTACGCGTTGCTTCGTACAACGGCCGAGTGTAGCACACTAGCCCATCCATGGGTACACACGCATGCAAATACGAGCACGCATGAATTAACTAACTACCCCTACATACTATACAGATATACACGCGAGTCTTGTAACATACTACACAGATATACACAAGAGAGTCTTAACATACTACACATATGTATACAAGAGAGTCTTAACATACTACACAGATATACACAAGAGAGTCTTAAACACAGATATACACAAGAGAGTCTTAACATACTACACGTATGTATACAAGAGAGTCTTAACATACTGCACCTATGTATATACAAGTCTTAACAATTTACACAGATATACACAAGAGAGTCTTCACATACTACACATTTATATACAAGTGAGTATTAACATACTACACAGATATACACAACAAAGTCTTAACATACTACACAGATATACACAACAGAGTCTTAACATACTACACAGATATACACAAGAGAGTCTTAACATACTACACAGATATACACAACAGAGTCTTAACATACTACACAGATATACACAACAGAGTCTTAACATACTACACAGATATACACAACAGAGTCTTAACATACTACACAGTTAGACACAAGAGAGTCTTAACATACTACACAGATATACACAAGAGTCTTGACATACTACACAGATATACACAAGAGAGTCTTATAACATACTACACAGATACACACAAGAGAGTCTTATAACGTACTACACAGATACACACAAGAGAGTATGAACATACTACTCAGATATACACAAGAGAGTTTTAACATACTACACAGATATACACAAGAGAGTCTTAACATACTACACAGATATACACAATAGAGTCTTAACATACTACACAGATATACACAAGAGAGTCTTAACATACTACACAGATATACACAAGAAAGTCTTAACATACTACACAGATATACACAAGAGAGTCTTAACATACTACACAGATATACACAAGAGAGTCTTAACATACTACACAGATAGACACAAGAGATTCTTAACATACTATACAGATATACACAAGAGAGTCTGAACATATTACACAGATATACACAAGAGATTCTTAACATACTATACAGATACACAACAGATTATTGTAACATACTTCACAGATACACACAAGAGAGTCTTATAACATACTACACAGATACACACAAGAGAGTCTTATAACATACATGGAGATGGCGTTGCGCTGCTCGGCTTCGTCCACCGTCTCCTGTCCCACATGGCGTGCCTTTTGCTCCTCTAAACTCGCATCAACCGCACCTTGCCACACCTTCCGTTTGACTTTGAACATGTGCCCACTCTCTTGCATTCCTGAGTAGCCACGTGAGTGGTTTGTGTGTGTGTAAGTGCTTTATGTATTATGTATGCGTAAGTACTTTATGTATTATGTATGTGTGAGTGGTTTGTGTGTGTGTGATTTAGTTGTGTATGTGTGAGTGGTTTGTGTGTGTGTAAGTGCTTTATGTAATATGTATATGTAAGTACTTCATGTATTATGTATGTGTGAGTGGTTTGTGTGTGTGTGATTTGGTTGTGTATGTATGAGTTGTTTGTGTATGTGTGAGTGCTTTATGTATTATGAACAATCAGACACACAGCCACAGACCAAAAAAACATACACACAGCTACAGACAACAAATATATATGTAATACAATATAGTACTTACGTGCGAATGTATCATATGCCTTACCCCCTCCGTATCTATCAGAGCGACATCTCTGCACAAACAACCAACTCATAGGGTTTTAGCAAACCCTAAACCCTAAATACCTCGGAAGAACCCCTGCAGACCAATAGGGGAGTGGTGTTTGCCGAGCATCATCTTGCCCTTCTTCTCGTAGATGTACCCAATGACATTCAGCAGATCCCGGCCGAATAGTTCGCCCTTGAGGACATTGGCCTGTGTGGATGAGGGTAATCGTTCGAGACCAGAGAGAATCAGGGGCTATAGTAGTTGTGTGGGGTGGCTAAGACATCAACATAATACAAAGTGTATTAAGACACAAACGTAATAGGAATTATGTTACAAGACATCAACATAATACAAAGTATATTTGGACATCAACACAATACAAATTATATTTAGTCATAACACAATACAAAGTATATTAAGACATCAACATGATATAAATTAAATTGAGACATCAACACGATGCAAATTATATCAAGACATAACACAGCACAAATTATAGGGTGTGCACGAGTGTATGCAGCAGACGTTTCGAAGATGTGTGTCAATGTGAGCCGCACTTGTGCATTGTGGGTGTATTGTGCTGCCAACAGTTACTGTTTAATACCCAGATCCTTCGCGTTAAAGTATGCACGCATACAATAGCTTCTTTACCCCGTGTATTCATGTGTGTGTTTGAGCATGTAACTGTCACGTACATACACCTGTGTGTATTTGAGCATGTAACTGTCACGTACACACATCTGTGTGTATACTTTTTGAGCATATAACTGTATCGTACATACATCTGTGTGTGCATTTGCGCATATCTCTGTCACGTACATCCATCTCTGATACAACTTAAACTGGCAAACAATCAGTTACCTACCTCTAGTTCGGCGCTCTTGCGCACCTTTTTCTCCACATTCTCCAACGTCTCTCTGCGCGCGGATCGACTCTCCAGTTGCTCTGCCAGGACACCAAAGCCAAATCAGACATTCGAATGAGCCGATATAAATTTATACACACACCGCTGTGAGTCACACATCTGCCTTCATCGCAGGTTTTAGTTCAATTTTTTGGTTTTGGTTTTGGTTTTGGTTTTGATTTTGGCCTGTACAATTACGAGTATACGAACAAGATCGGCTATAAGAGTGTGCGTATTGGTTACATAAACTCACCTGCTTTCTCGGCGTCTTCCACATAGCTCTGGATGCGAGCGGTTAGGATCTGAGCCAGTTTGGTCTCTCGCTTCTGCTGCATCAACGCTATCCTATGAGTGGTATAGGCGAACGCACATGATACAACCAGTATGATAAAAAGGGCATAAGTATGCTACAACCAATATGATAAAAAGGGTATGAGTATGATACAACCAATATGATTGATACAACCAATATGATAAAAAGGGTATGTGTATTATACAACCAACATGATAACAAGGGTATGAGTATGACACAACCAGCATGATAAAAAGGGTATGAGTATGATACAACCAATATGATAAAAAGGGTATGAGTATAATACAACCAATATGATAAAAACGGTATGAGTATGATACAACCAATATGATAAAAAGGATATGAGTATGATACAACCAATATGATAAAAATGGTACGAGTATGATACAACCAATATGATAAAAAGGATATGAGTATGATACAACCAATATGATAAAAAGGGTATGCGTATGGGGATAGTTACACAGCATTGCGATGCACTAGGATGGGTGAGGAACTGAGGATATGACATGACCCCCCGGAAGGCGACCGCAGATTAGTATGTGGTGTGCCCTAACATGCGTACAAACAAATACCATCCAACCCCGTATATACCCCCTATGTTCACTCACTCACCTCTCCTTCTCAGCCGCTTTCTCCTCGGGACTAGAAGCTGTTGCTAGGTTACTGTCCATCGTATGAGCGGGATCGCCAATGAGGTGTGCAAAACTCTTATTTCCAAACATGACGGAGAATAGTAGTTTAGGGTCTATGGCCTGTTGTCCTTGTTTGGCGGCGTCCTTGCCCTTCACATTGTAGGTCGCGCGCTTTTCGGGATCGCCGAGTACTTGGTATGCTTCACCGATCTGTTCTTAGACACAAAGAACCAATTAAATGTGTTTTAGGACAATCTATGGACCGAAAGGCCCAAAAACACGAACTAAATAGGTTTCAAGACAATCTATGAACTTCCCAGAACAATGCCAACCACTGCAGTAAACAGGATGTGTGGTGTATTACATAAACCAAGACCTTAAAACACGAATCAAATGAGTTTCAGGACAATCTATGGACCGAAAGACCCAAAAACACGAACGAAATGAGTTTCAAGACAATCTATGAGCTTCCCAGAACAATGCCAACCACAGCAGTAAACAGGATGTGTGGTGTCCTATATGAACCAAGACCTTAA